CCCGAGACTGGGCAAAACACAGTTGAGGACACAACCGTGTTTTACTTTTTTCTGCCCGTGTTTTGGATTCCTCAGCAGCAGTCATAATGAGGCTCACGACATAAAAAGCACAGGTTGGGGACACGACCGTGTTTTACCCAATGGTGCCCGTTTTCTCACCTTGCAACGATTGAGCTCGCGCACTAAAAAGCACCAGCGTGCCCCTTAGTGAACACGACCGTGTTTTGGAGCAGTCTGCCCGTGTTCTTGCCCCTGCTTCATTGAATGACCTTCAAATGCCCCCAAAACTCGTGCCTAGCCATTCCTTAGACCTCTGGGACCTGAAATGTGATAAAATAGCACAACCCAGCGAAAAATAGGCCAAGGATATGCGACTACGAGCCGCAAGCGGATAAGAATAAGGGTGTAAACATGTGCAAATACATCGTTATCAGCCTAACTGCGATCTAGAGGGACACATACCTGAGTGAGCTTTCTTAATCTAAATACAATCGTTACTTGCTTTTTGTTTGTTTTTCCTTTCTATAATCTTCACTCGAACTGAACATATAGATAATAGAGATTCACGAAGTAGACAGTACACCTAGGACCCGGGTTGACAAGTAAAATTAAACCCACTATACTGCATTTTCGAACTGCAAATGCACTTGGTCGTAGTTTGGCGTTGCATTTTAGCGAGTCAAGTTTTTGGCACCGTTGCTGGGGACCAAACTTGGGTCACCCTCTTCACAGGATCTCCATTTCGGGGTGCCTCTATCCTAGAATTTTCGTTGAATTAGGGCGAACTCTGTCGCCGCCGCGTGGCGAGTCTCCGGTGAGGACCCCATATCGTTTTCCAGCGCAATTTTGCATCCCTCGCCCGCCTCTCACCTTCCTCTACGGTCCTTCTAGTGTTTCCAGGTTTGTATCTTGTGCTTTCTTTGTTATTTCTGGAAAATCGCGCTGCAGATGTTAGGATTGAGAATAGTGAATTGTTTGGCATGCTTGAACTAGTTTAGGGGCGAGGGATGTGTTTGTATGTGGCCTAATAGCAATAATTGGTGTCGGATTACTTGGTTTTCCCGCGTTATGCTATGATTTGTGCTAGATATTAGTCTGCTTTGCTGGTTTTCCTGTACTTATTACCGCAAAGCGGCTATTTTGAACTCAAATGCTTGCCTAGGTGGTTCTTGAGTGTGGCGGAACTAGATATCCCCCTGCCCGTTTTTCTAACATGGTTTTTCTCGTGGTTCCACCTTTGACTAATATTTTTTGCAGGATCATATCTCGCAATCACCGGTACATGCGCCACGTGCCCGCAGAGGCCCAAGCAAAGTTCTAGGAAGTTTTGGATGGATCATTCTAGCCCCACAGTCACCTCGACTTTGAGGTTTTTCGGGTGCTCCACTGCTACAACTAGATGGCAGCAACGATTCGCCACCGCTATTGGCACATTCTTCTGCCCATTCAGGATCCCACTTACACGGAGTTGATGTGGGAGTTCTACACCACCTACTCCTTCCGGTTTATGGCGACTCCCGATCGTCTCGACACTATCACCTTCCGGCTGGGCGGGGCCGAGTGGTCTATGAGTATGGATGGCCTTGCTAGAGCCTTGGGCATCATCTACCCCTCCCCCCCCCCCCCTTACCCTACGACATTAAGGAGGTCGCTAACCCATCTGATTTCCGCACCTTGAGTTCTACCCTAGATTTGCCGCTCGGAGGCAAGATAGATGTGGTTCGAGGCCGGGCAGACCAATGTCATCACCCTTCGACCTCAATGACACATCCTCAACCTCCTTCTCACTCGCTCGGTGGTCCCCAATGCCAGGGGTTCGTGGAAGCTCACAAAGCGCGTGCTCTACTACATGTTCACTATGATGGATCCGGACCATCACCTGCATCTCGGTTCTGTCATTGCTAAGACCTTCGCCAAGTGCCACGCTAAGCCCAACTATCTTTATTGTGGTCCCCCAATCACCCTTCTATCCCGACACTTTCAGGTGGATTTCTGGGGTTTGATTCATGCCTCTGCTCAGTTTGACTTACACTCGCTCAACAGGGGGGGTCCTCAGCAATGCCCTTCTCTTGACTTTAGCTGATGGCCGGGACTGGGTGGATGGTCTTTCCATGCCACCTGATGGTGCTGCGGCTAATGATGATGATGAGGAGTCCGAGGCGAATGATGATGATGCTAATAACGATGACTATGGTGGAGATGATGTTGATGACGTTGCGATGGAGCCCGAGCTGTCCCCGCTTGGGGATCCTCCACCACGATGGAGACCAGAGCGAGGCGAGTCCTCCTTCGGTTGTTCTGTTTCATCGATGGAGTTCTTCATTGACCATTTCCAGCATATGGGTCTCTAGTTCCAGCAACTAGGTCTCAAGAATCAACAGCTCATAGATCACCAGCTCTAGTTCAAGTAGCAGTATTCAGCTCATCATGCTTAGTATGTTGCTCAATTTGAACAGATTGAAAGTCACTTCGACCAACTCGCGGTTCAACATCAAGAACTTCGTACCCGTCTTGACCGAGAGCGGGACCGAGGGCGCCAGCTAATGGAGTACCAGGAGCACCTACTCCAATCTTGCCACCCAGAGCACCACTGGACTACTCCGTGGGTGCACTCTCCATCACCACCACCTCCTCCACTAGGGGATGCCGATGACATCATGAACCACATCGACTTCGACCTCCTTGAGTAGGCTGTACTTGCTAGCTCCCCCTCTATGTTTGTTCTGGTGTTTGTTGAGTGTTTGTGTTGTTTTGGAGGAGTGTAGACCGGATTATTTGTGTTTGTTTTTTTTTCTTTTGGATATTGTGTCATTGGGATGACAACTCTACCTAACTATAATGTGTTTGAGTGGTTGTTTTTGTATTAGCCCCTATTCTTGCCACTACGTGTCCCACTTTCAGTCCTCCGCCCTGACTTGTCCACTCTCCAGTCCTTATGCAGCCTATTTTCCTCACTGACCTCGAGCTCAAACTTGTGGGCCGCGTTAGTTGTAGCGTAGGTCTCATAGAGAGAGTTCCACATCGCGACAGATGTGGGTAGAAGCCGAAGCCTTAAGATGATTGAGGCATCCACCGATTTTAATATCCAGGAACGAACTCGTGCATCAGATTGCACCCATTTAGCAAGCTCATGATCGGAAGCCGGAGGAACGGTAGGCTTTTGGCGGAACCATCCAAGAAACCATAATAAACCAATAAACCAAGAGATCTCGGTACCTCAAATTACCAATACAATGATACATGGTAAAGATATCTAAGTAGCGATTTGGACCATATATTCAGTCGAATTGAAACGGGGACAACAGAAATGTACTTAGGACGATGATTGGCCAAACTGAAACTATTGTTGTAATTAAATCCACACTATTATTATAGTGTCTCACAATTCGTCCAAAGAGTAAGGAATGCCGCATGACCATTATCATTAGAATTCTCAAACTTATAACCATCGCCGATAATCTGCCAACATAGTAAGAATATGGATATTTTAGAAGGGTCACAATAAATAATGAAGTTGCAAGTCATATTTGGATGCAACGATACTTCATTTATGAATACAGGATTTGATTCTGACAGCAAACAAAATTACGATTGAAAATCTATTTTTGTGTCCCGATAAAAGTAAAAGAAATGAACGGAAACTCTGTCATAAACCAGTTGATCCCAATAACTCGAGTTGTTGGGAGAAGATTATGCTGGATCTTATACCACTCTCTAACACGCCCTCTCAAACGAAAGCCAACCCATGGGCTTGAAGTTTGCACAAGCAATTATCATACCTTGTGCTTTAATCAACTTTGGATCGTAGAAATTCGAACACACGACCACTTGACCAAACCAACTCTGATTTCATGTCATAAACTACCTCTTTTGTAGCTTGCATAGGGTACACAGTCTTGGCTGTTAACGGAGCTCAGAAGTTGATTGACTTGGGTCTAGAATTCATCCCCATGGAACAAATCATCATGGATGCAGTTAATCAGTACCTAAAGAAAAGGATACGTCTCCTAAGTGAAGCTTTTTTCTGGCCTCGACTTGTTGTCGGTGAATGGAGACGACAAACCAATCAACGTGGCTACAAAAAACCTAGTAGCTTACCGACCGACTGCATATGTTACCAATCGATTGGCTGCTTTAATGGCTGTTTTCAATTGGATGAGTGGTATTTTTTACTGTTTACTCGGTGGAAAAATTATTCGGGTTAAGTCACGATAATAGCATACATCCAGCAGCAGCACCCAGTCAGTGATTCCCTGCGGCATGGTCCTAGTAAAGCAATTAAAAAGGTATAAAAAAAAGAGAGGAAATGGTAGCCAGCCCATGAGAAGCTTAGTTTCAGAATTCACGTGAGAAAAGGCTGTACCCAAGGTTGTCTATCCACGGATAGACCCGGCTGTACTCAAGGTTGTCAATGTCGACCACCCGCTTCGATTCGATCAGGTGAAAAAAATGAGCCGCACGCATCCGTCGGGTCGACTGTGACAAGATATCGAGTTGTAAGTCAAATTGTGACATTTTTTCTTTGGTTTGCGAAATGCGCATATTTTTCGATTTTTCTTTTCGCCTAACTCAATCTTTGGAATCCTTAGTTGAACATTTGAATATTGATATTATATAAGTATATATGAATTTTCACTATATGTTTCATCTAAATACGACATGTTACTTTGGTGTAATGTTATATGTTATTACTCATATAGTCATATGTTAGATGAAATTTGATATAATATTAGGATAAGTACAATATATTAACTCTTCATATTTCCGGGCTAAAACGGACTAATACGAGTGACCCGTTAACCCTTAACCCCCTAATTTGACCGGGTCCAGAATCCGGATCAAGCCCGTGGGTTGACAAACTTGACGTACCCAATACACCACTTTCTGTGGCCGCAGGGGCATTGGCCTAACTCCCACTCGCCCACTCCCTTTCCCTTTCCCTTTCCCTTCCACTCTCCACTCCTTCCCCTCCTATATATATGTATACATATCTCACAATCTACAGACAAACAAACCCACCCTGCCACCAGTTCCACAACCACAAAGAAGAAGAAAAAACCATGAAAACCCACTTCCTCTGCCCACTCTCCTTCCTCTTCTTCATTGCCTTGGCCGCTCAGGCTGCCCCACACGCGCACCCAAACTGTGAAGCCCCTCAAGACCATGGTTCGACCCTGAGGGTATTCCACATCTTCAGCCCTTGTTCCCCCTTCCGGCCACCGAACCCCGCGGCGTCTTGGGAGGAGAGCGTGCTCCAGTTGCAGGCCAAGGACCAAGCAAGGCTGCTTTACCTCTCTAGCCTGGTTGCCAAGCGATCTGTTGTGCCCATTGCCTCGGGCAGGCAGATCGTTCAGAGCCCTACTTACATCTTGAGGGCTAAGATTGGAACCCCTCCTCAGACCATGCTCATGGCTCTTGATACCAGCAGCGATGCTGCTTGGATGCCTTGCAATGGCTGCGTTGGCTGCCCTTCCTCTTCCTTGTTCGACTCTCACAAGTCCACCACCTTCAAATCCCTCGGCTGCCAGTCCCCTCAATGCAAGCAGGTAAACCCCCTTTTTTCCAATTCTTTTACTGCAAAAGATCACGTGATTTAGTAACATTACTAAACTGGGATCATGATTGATTTATATAATATTAGTTGTTTTTAGTCATCATTCTGTTTAGAAGGAACAGAATGTGACATCATTTGTATTTTGTAACGCTTGGATACTCAGAAAGAAAGTGCATGTATGTGACTTTTTTTGACGGGGGGAACAAAATTGCAGGTACCCAACCCTACTTGCGGCAGCAGCGCGTGCGTGTTCAACATGACCTACGGCGGCTCTTCCATCGCCGCCAACCTCTCTTCCGACACCGTCACTCTGGCCTCCGACCCGGTCCGGGGCTACACCTTCGGGTGCATCCAGAAGGCGACGGGGAGCTCCGTGCCGCCGCAGGGACTTTTGGGCCTGGGCCGAGGTCCGTTGTCGTTCCTCTCCCAAACCCAAAGCCTCTACAAGTCTACCTTCTCCTATTGCCTCCCAAGCTTCAAGTCTCTCAACTTCTCCGGCTCGTTGAGGCTTGGGCCTGTGGCCCAACCACAGAGGATCAAATACACCCCGTTGCTCAAAAATCCCAGGAGATCGTCTCTGTATTACGTGAATCTGGTCGGGATCAAGGTCGGCCGGAAAGTCGTCGACATTCCGGCTGGTGCTCTGGCTTTCAACCCCACCACCGGCTCCGGCACCATCATCGATTCCGGTAATATTACTTTCATTAGGGTTTGGGCACCAGCATACTAATTTAATTATCAAATTGGGGGAGTACGTACTAATTAGGGTTTCCGCTTCTTGGTTGCAGGCACGGTGTTCACCAGGTTGGTGACGCCGGCGTACACGGCGGTGAGGGACGAGTTCCGGAGGAGGGTGGGGCGCAAAGTCACGGTGACGTCACTGGGCGGGTTCGACACGTGCTACTCGGCCCCGATCGTGCCACCCACCATCACGCTCCAGTTTGCGGGGCTGAACGTGAGCCTCCCGGCGGAGAACATCATGATCCACAGCACCGCGGGGAGCACGTCGTGCCTGGCGATGGCGGCGGCGCCGGGCAACGTGAACTCCGTGGTGAACGTGATCGCCAACATGCAGCAGCAGAACCACCGGATCCTGTTCGACGTGCCCAACTCCAGGATCGGGGTGGCGCGTGAGCAATGCACGTGATGAACGTTAGGCTAGTACTGCTGATGGGGATTGGAGGATTTTGAAAGGAAATTTTGAATTTTAGTATGTGCTAGGCTTAGGCTAGCTATCTTCTCGTACGTTTTGGATCGTGACTTTCTCATCTCATGGGTTGTCGTTTTGGACCCATCAGGCAGGGGGTTCAGGGATCTGAGTTGAGCTCAGGTCTGGCTGAGGCTGAGGCTGAGGCTGAGGCTGAGGCTGAGCACTTTTGTTTGTTTGTTTGCTTTATCTTTGTTGTTGGAGTAGCTGTCACGGGATGGGATATGTGTTTGGTCAAATAAGTATACAACAACAATAATGTCTCTACCGAAAAAAGGTTGCTTGTATTCGAAGATGGCAGCACTGCGGCACGGTCACGGGTGCGGGCAGTGGAGTTTATTTTTAAATTTTAATTTGAATGTTGCGGTGCTCCCTGTCACGGATTGGAGATTTTGGCGATGTTACTCATTTTCTGTCGGTCAATTTCCAAATGCGTTCTCGCATCTGGCCTGTACCAAATGCAAAAGTGCGAATTCTATATCACGGATAATAAACAGGGGCAGACGACAGTCATCGCACAGCTAGCTATATGCTGAATCTGGCCACCGTCAGCAACATCGGTAAGAACATCCTTATTGCGTTTATATATAGTTGTCCCATCGGATACCTATGTGACTAAGGGTGTTCAAACGGTGTGTTCAAACGGTGTAGTTATCGTGGTAATCGTTTAACAAATAGTATTTGGATAATTTGATTTGGTTAATTTGGACAATTGTTTTGGTTTGGTTAAACTTTTTATTTTGTTTGATTTAGGTGCTTTGGTTTGGTTTCAGACGAGGGAGGATTCTATGACTAAGGGGGGTCCTTAGTCACTTGACTAATCCTCTCCTAGCCATTAGATCTGGATAGATCAATCAAACAGTTAAAAACTAGGAATGAATTTTTAATTAGTCGCAGTTGTAATTTGGGTATTATGAAAAATTACGAACTATACAAACCGGACTTACAAACAGTACAAACTAAAATGACAAAACATACAAACAGATTTACAAACAATTCAAAACATACGAACTGTACAAACAATACAAATTAGACCGACAAACAATACAAACCATACAAAATGAAAAAAAACAACCGTGTTGACTTAGGAGGAGTCATCCCTATATAGAGGGGCTCCGTCCCAAAGTCAACCCGGTTGTTTTTTAGACATACAAACATGGTGGATAAAAACGACAAACTAGACCGACAAACCATACAAAATGGAAAAACACCCGGGTTGACTTAGGAGGCTCCATCTCTATATAGAGGAGTTCGATCCAAAAGTCAACCAGTTTGTTTTTAGACATAAAAATATTATAAACATGGTTAACAAAAATGACAAACATGGTGCACAAAAATAACAAAGCTTACAAACATTACAAAAGAACCCGACAAACATTACAAAAATAACAAACCTTACAAACATTACTGAAGAAACCGACAAACATATATTACAAAACATACTAACATTACAAAATAATACTACTTACAATACAAATCGGTAAAATTATATTACAAATCAATGAATACAAATTATACAAATCATAACATAAAAGTATACAAACTAAAGCAACAAATATTATAAATCAAAATATATACAAATTAGTCATGTAAACATTACAAACACAGTTGACAAAAATAACAAACTAGAATGATAAATGACAAACCGAATTGATATAAACCTTACAAACTGGACTTATCGGCTGTAACTTTTTTATTATGTTTTAATTAATAAATAAATTATGTAATTATTACTATATCCTTGATTAAATTAGATAAATCTGTACCATTAGATTTAACAACGTTCAATGGCTAAGATTGGCTTAATCATGTGACTAATGGACCCCATTAGTCAACTAGCATTAGCCCATTTCAAACACTGCTAACCAATCAAATCAAATTAACCATATATCTAATATTGTATGTATACATACTTAATATTTTGCATAGCCACTAAAGAGACAAACGTTTCTCCCTTTTAGGATCATAAAAAATAAAGATCAATATTGTTCCTATACTATATATTTGTAGTTGTATAGTGTAGACCACAACATAAGGACACCTAATTTAGATAAAAACTCATACATTATGTTTGATGAAAACTTGAAAGGAATGTCTTTTTCAATCTATGACAACTGCTAAGAGACTAAATCAATTCTCACAAATACAACAATTTATTAACCCCTTACGATTGCACATATTTTGTTATGTCAATACTTCCATTGACTATAAGATAATTGTATTAGCTGTATGTATTTATGTTAAGGGTTAAATTTAACTATGTGTTGATTTTTAAGGTTTGTTGATTATATACAGTGTTAATTGATGCATTAATCAAAAAATTTCTCACTTAATGATAATGTCATGTTATATTTGTTAATCTGGTTAACCAATTAACCAAACCGTTTAGACTTTAATTTGGTTATTGTATTAGTTTGGACAGTTTGGTTATGATATTGTATTTCATGGTTGATAGAATTTATACTTATTTGGTTTGGTCATTATCATGGTAACCATTTGAACACCTCTACATGTGACATCTTATTAATAAAAATTGTTACAGCGTAGATCCAATAGCCATGAGGCGTTCAACATTCTGTCATACGATTGTAGTTATTGTAAATAAAGGTGGCAAATGGATTGATAGATTGGATTGATAGATCCATGGATCAAATGGATTGGTGGATTGATCGATAAATCCAAATGACATCCAAGTCTTGGACCAATATGTTAATTTTGAAAAGTTTGGGTACTAAAATGTCATAATAAAACATTTTAGACACCAAAATGTAATTTTATAATGACATTTTTGTATAAAAAATAAATTTAGGTAAAAGTTTGTAAAATATAAAACATATAGGTACTAAACTATAATGTGTCAATTCAATTGAATTTGGATCAAATGGATTAGATTTAAATGGATTGTATTAGTTGGATATTTAAGTGGATTGATTGGATTGGATTGGATTGGATTGGTGGAATATTGGATTGTGAATTATCACCTCTAATTGTAAACACATCCTTACAAATGGGATGTAAAGCATTGTAGTTGTAATTAAAGCATTGTAGTTTGATTACAAAGGAAATGACCCTCGTATATAAGTGTCTATCTAACCCAATTATTAAAAGGTCTTTTCGGGAGGACATCCAAAAGTAAATTCAAGGGAGTTTGACTTAAAGCGAACAATAAAATACTAATGGAGCATCCAAACCAGCAATTGATATCATAGTTTTAATTCAAATTCGAGACGTTGGATATCAGAATGGACCCTCATTTAGTGAACTCAAAATTTGATATATGCGTTGATCTGGCGGGTCAAAAGAGACATGCTTCTGTTTGGCTGAACAAGTGATGATTTTTGGAACATCGAATACATTGCTCCAACAAAGGAAGCAGTTATGACACTAAAAATATAGCATTCTCATAGTCTTATAATTTGATGCATTCCACCTTATATCAATGCATCTTTAGTAGTTTTTTACTATATTTCCATGGATTTTGTAAATATCTGATTAATGTAGTTATTTTATATCTTAGTTATGTTTTGTATTATTTTTTTTTTTTTTACCTTTTTGGTATCATTTTGTGCATTTCAGGATAAAATATAATCAAGGAGAATTAGGATAAAATACTAGATTAAGGAGACATAAGTGTGGAAGCCCATGAAGCATAACTTTTGAAGCAATTTGAGGTTTTCACATACCAAATCAATGTCAATTAAAGCCTAATTTATCATGGAGCTTACTTAACGGTCAACTAATACAAATATGAGGGGAAGAAGCAACAACACCCCCAGCCCCTCCATTTCCCTATAAGTTTCTAAAAGCTTCTTTCTTCATCCCCAAGTAACAAAATCCGATTTCAAGTCAAATAAGGAAGGTTTCTAACCAAATTTTGAAGAAAACTCCCAATATCACATCTTTTGTACGCAAGCCTTCATGATTCCTAGCGAGATCAACCCTTAATTAACGATATTCACTAACTACTAACCCTGAAAATGGCAAGTGTACCAATGGCAGACTTGTAGTATATATGCATGATTGTATTCCTTAGAGATCGCCAATCCCCTATCCTACTCTTGTTAAATCCTAATGTTATCTAATCGATAGTTGGTTATTTTTATATTAAAAAATTGTTTAACAAAAGAGACAAGAATGGAAAGAACGACACTTGAGGAAACCGCTCTCGTACTAACATCGAATAAACATGCAATCAAAGGATATATCAATTCAAGGTAATTGAGGTCAGAGATCACTAGTTCCCCTCATAGCCACATCTGTCGATCTAATGTCACCACTACCGGGTTCAGTGACTAGGGATAGTGTTGTATCTCCTCTACACGGGTTTCACCTGTATGAACATGACGACCACAAGTTGATATATGGTCACACAATAGGATACCAAGCATTACATAGGTAAGATCCTAGTTGGCAGGGGATGGTCACTTCGTCAACCAACTAGGACTCAAGATTTACTAACTAAGCTAAAGGAAGTCATTCATATACAATTAGTAATAACCTAAATTGCCCTAGGCTAAGACCATGATATATGTGCATTCATCCATTAGGTAACCTAATACCATAGTTAGGGTTTTAGGGGGGGGGGGGCAAATCCTCAGGTACCTTAGACTAGTACCCCATGAAGGGGGAGAGAGCCATAGAGAGAAAGGAAGAAAACATGAATAAGCGCTCTTTCTTGTGAAGAATACTCCTACTTCAGCTACTCATTCATCTCCTCTTCCTCTCTAAGGAAATAGCTTGTCTCTCTAGTTCCTCTTTCTACGGTTTTGCAGCTTCCAAAGTCTTCTGAAATGAGGGGAACATCCCTCTATTTGTAGAGATCTAGAGGGACGGGCAAGTTCGAGACTGGCCTTCACGAGATCGTGGATGTGATCTTTGTCATCAGGTCGTGGAGTTAAAACGATGGCGTACTCAGCTCCTCGGATAAGGAGATCGAGGCCTTGATTTGGCAGTCGCGAACTGAAGTCACAACTATAATCTTTCTTGTGTTCTCGATCCTGAAGGCACACAAGGTGAAATGCAAGACCTCTTGGGCTCTTGTCTGCAGCTTCTCCAAGTTTACGGCTCAGGCGATCTGAAATTGCGACTGCGAACTTTGCACCTTGGTCGTGATCTCTTCCCTCTATTGTATGCTATTATAGATACGCAGTCTAACATAATAAATCACAATCCTTTCTATGGCCACATTCTCCAATCTTGAGTTGGTTGTCTAGGTGTGGGGATCTGTAGGATATTCTGTTGTCAATAGGATCAATGAGCTCCGCCAAAGTTGTACACCCGTTAGGAGATATATGTACTGGGGATAGGATCCTCAAGTTCTCTGCTACAAGTACCCACTAATCAAGCCAAATATCCACTTTTCTTCCATCTCTCACATTCCATCGCAATCCCTTAGTAACCAGATCCTCTGTAGCCATTAGACTTCTCCATTTTTTTTCCTTTTTCTGCTATCATAGTACTTTGATTTGAGAACTCTAGCCACTAAAGAATATGAATTTTTCTGCTATA